ACCTGAGATACCCTGGCAAACCACTGGTCTAAGTCCAAGAGTCCAAAGGCCACAGAACCTGGAATGTGATGTTCAAGAGCAGGAAGCATCCAGCAAGAGAGAAAGATGAAAGCACAGAAGACTCAGCAAGCCAGCTGTTCCTACCTTCTTCCCCCTGCTTTTTCTTTTTTTTGAAACAGAGTCTCAAGCAGTTCTCCTGCCTTAGCCTCCCTAGTAGCTGGGACTACAGGTGCCTGCCACCACTTCTGGCTAATTTTTTATTTTCAGTAGAGATTGCGTTTCACCATGTTGACCAGGCTGGTCTCGAACTCCCGACCTCAAGTGATCCACCTGCCTTGGCCTCCAAAAGTGCAGGGATTACAGGTGTGGGCCACGGCGCTTTTTCTAGCCATGCTGGCAGCCAATTGGATGGTGCCCCCCTAAGGGCGAGTCTTCCTCTCCCAGTCCACTGACTCAAATGTTAATCTCCTCTGGCAACACCCTCACAGACACACCCAGAAACACAATACTTTGCACCCTTGCATCCAATCAAGTTAACACTTAATATTAACCATCATAGGCACCTACAGACAGTGCTTTGGGTAGAGTAAGTGTCAGCAAACTGTAGCCTGCAGTTCGACCCCTGCCTGCTACCTGTTTTTTAAAAACAGACTTTTGTTATGCCCATTCATGTACTTATTGTCTCTGGCAGCTTTGGGCTACAACAGCAGAGTTCAGCGTGACAGAGACCATGTGGTCTGCAGAGCCTAAGACAGGTACTACCTAACCTAAAAAAATGGCAGATCCTTGGGATACAGAACTGTAACTTGAGTTGCAGTTTCACTATTTATTTTATAATGTGCTAATAGCATAGTTCCCGACCAGAAAATACTAAAGAAATACCAACTAAATAAAGATCACAGTCTCTCTTTTAACATAAAGGGGTTTCAATATTTATTTATTCCATAATTCACTTGTTTTAAACACATGAAGCACCCGGTCTTGGGCGGCCACTTGCTGTCTTTCCAGTTCCTTCCTTCTCGCTCTCTGTCTCCAACAATTCTTCAGCCCCATGGCTATCTGCAATCTATTGATTCTACCATCTCACAGTCCCTGAACATACATATGCAATATAATTCTTCCAGATGGCCAAATAATTTCCACTTATAGGATTAAAAAGAAAAGAATAATTGAGGGCAGATCCTGCAATCTATAGGTAAGCTCTGTGAGGGCGGGGCTGTGTCTGGCACATGTCTGGTGCTCAGGAATGGTTGTTGACTGACTGCAAAACATTTCTACCTATTCTTGAGATCACAGAGTGGCAGTGGAGAACTTTCATGATCATCTGTCCGTCTGCTGGTGGGGCAAATGAGGTATGCAGAGGGTAAGTGGCCTACCCAAAGTCTCCCCACTTACTAGAGGTAGGTTCCCCAAGTCCCATCCCAGGGTTCTTTTTTGTGCCCCGGGTTGCCTGTGTCTACTTCAAAGACTTGAGGAAAACTTTGGAATTAAGATTAAAGAACAAACACTTAAACCTGGAAGAGAAAGGCGTATTGGAATCACACTGTTGGCATCTCATGTTGTGGCACAAGGAGATGCCCTTGGAAACACAGCAGACACACACTCACAGCCCCTCACTGCCAGCAATGAGTTGTAAGAGTTTGGTGAAGTTGCTTCACTTCCAGTCCTGAGTGAATGCTTCTGACAAACAGGGGATTGCCTAAATGGGGTTGTTGTGAGGCTTTTGGAGTGGGGTTGCAAAACTGCAACTCACACTACAACTCAAGTGAGAAAAATATTCTGTCACTTTGTCAATAACTGACCTAGTCCTCATGACCCCGTCACATATTGGTGAGCAAGAAAAAGTTAACTGAAGTTGGAACTTTAAACTTTAGTCTAAATGGGTATGGAGTTTCCGTTTGGGATGGTGAAAAAGTTTTGGAGGCGGACAGTGGTGATGGACGCACAACAACATTGAATCTGCTGAACTGTATACTTAAAAATTGTTATACATTTATGTGTATTTCATCACAATAAAAAAGCAGCCTAATCTGATCATGTAGACAGTCTGCTGTGGTAATGCACAGTCACTTTTGGAGAGATGACCTCTCTCTCAATTCCTTGGGCCTTGGCCTCACTGTGCCTCCCGAAGATTGCATTTGGATGTGGAGGGGGCACTGGAGGTTGTGGCTTATGCGATCTTGGTACAGGGAAGAGCTGAGGTCTTTGGGCATGGTTTCCTCGGCCTCCTCTGCTCCCCTTAACCAGCTAAGTGCTGCTGGCATCTACTCTCCGACCTTTGTTTCATGCCTCTGGGATGAGGAAACACCAGATATTGTGACACATCAAAAATTTCATTGTGACTTAAGTTGGGCAGCTGCCTTGTGGCTTACTCAGCATGGAGAGGAACCATGACTCATGCTGGCTGCCAAGTCCTCTCACGTGTATCCACCAAGCATCACAGGGGAAGGAAGAATCATGGCCCCTACCCATAAATTTCAAAGACAGTACAAAAGCAATAAATGAAACTCAATGAAAATAAGCACATCGTTGTGAACCACATGCCATTTTTGAGGCCCTAGAACAATCATGAAATTAGAAAGTGGTGTCCTAGCTATGTGCTGATCAGACGCTGATCCACAAACTGTGTGGGGCTATCTGAGTCTGAACTACGTGGTGGGAGTTGGTGGTAGTGGTGGCAGCGGTGGGTAGGTGTAAATTACCACCAGGACATTAGCCAAATCTGACAATCACTGTTTACATCAATATACCTTTCCAGTCTGATATTTGTTTAAATTACAGCAGTTAATAAAGAAGACAGCATGCTCTTGGCTCATTAAAGCCATTACAAAAATAATAATATCATGGAGAACCAAAGAACTTTTTTTTTGAGACCAAGTCTCGCACTGTCACCAAAGCTGGGGTGCATAGGATCTCGGCTCACTGCAACCTGTGCCTCCTGGGTTCAAGCGATTCTCCTGCCTCAGCCTACTGAGTAGCTGGGATTACAGGCACACACCACCACACCTGGCTAATTTTTGTATTTTTAGTAGAGATGGGGTCTCACCATGTTAGCCAGGCTGATCTAGAACTCCTGACCTCTTGATGCGCCCACCTTGACCTCCCAAAATGCTGGGATTACAGGCGTGAGCCACCACACCTGGCCCAAAGAGTTTTTTTTTTAAAGCACAGCTAATCATAATTTGACCTTCATAAAATAAATGGGAGCTGAAAGCACTGAACAAATTGTATCTATTTACTAAAAATGCCTCCAAATACTCAGACATGAACTATTCTGATAAATATAAGGGGCTTATTTTTCTATTTGCCCTGGCTCTTCCCCTGCCCCATGCACTGAGCCCCAAGAACCGCACCCTGGGGCTCTCACAGGTTCAGCCACTAGGGGGCACTGTGAGGAGAGTGGTGCCCCAAGGAGACAGAGGCTGGGATAGTTCTTCCTTACCCTGGGCTGAATTTTTCTGGCAGATGCCTCATGTCACTCCTCAGGCACTCCAGCTACTGCTGGGGCAGCACCCACTTCCCATGTTGCTAATCTCTCAGTGACTTCAGCCTGCTCACAGCCATATAAGTAGTCCCTTCATATAAGACTCTCAAACCATCTGAGTTGGATTCTGTTTCCTGCAGGGGTCCCAACTAATAAGCCCATAAAAAGAAATTCTTTACTACTGTCAGTGACGTCCTGATGTGCTGATCACTGACAGACATTAACTGTGATAATGTTGGTACTTCACTGGTATGATTAGAAAATAATCTGACTAAATTTCTAAACTAATGGCTTGGAACTTATGCCTCCAAATTGTATTGCCTTCCCAAAGCTGACAGCTTAGGATGTTTCAATACCAACATGTTAAAATATTCTGAGGCTGCTTTTAAAGATATTCTTTAGTGCCCCTAACACATTATTTTAAATAATGGTGAAAAACTATCCTCCTTTAAAGGCAGAGTTGATTCAGTTCAACAGGCAATATCACAATATGCATAGGGAAATTGGCAATAATTTCATTATGTTTATATGCAAATTCTACTTATTGTTATCCAAATGTCTTTTACAGCTAGTGCACTGTGTAACACCATTAATGTATCAACGGAAGCAAATGGAATTTTAGAGAGTGCTAAGGGTGTTCCTGGTATTGCAAAAGGCACAACTCAGGTATGAGAGATGAATTAATTATTCATAAGGACGATTATGTTGGTTTAGTTGTCAGCATTTTCCTGTCTCATATTAGGACACACACACACACACACACACACACACGCCTGTGAACAACATGGGTTTGACGTGTGTGGGTCCAATTGGACTCAAATTTTCTTTCACCTGTGCCACCCCTAAAACACAAGAGCAACCCCTCCTCTTCCTTCTCCTCCTTAGCCTACTCAACGTGAAGATGATGAGGACAAAGACCTTTATTGTTACCCACTGCCACTTAGTATCAGTATATGTATTTTATCTTCTTAATGATTACCTTCATAACATTTTTTCTCTAGGTTAATTTACTATAAGCATACAGTCTATAATACACATATCATGTAACAGATGTGTTAATTGTGTTATTGGGAAGGCTTCTGGTCAACAGTGAGCCAATAGTAGGGAAGATTTGGGGGAGTCAAAAGTTATATGTGAATTTCAACTGCATGGGGTATTGGCACCCTAGCCCCTGTATTGTTCAAGAGTCAACTGTAATATTTTCATAACACACTAGAATCAACAGAGGGTCTCCTGGGACTGGAGGTATCCTGCCTGGGGCTCCAGTTGCCTCAGTTCTCTCTTCCAAGGGCTGAGGGGGATCTACAATTGTGGTGTGCCTTGGAATGTTAGTGGAAAAAGTCTGGTGACATTACGGTTTCCAAGTATTTTGTGGCCCGGGGTATTCTTATCTCCAATCCCCATCACTTTCAGTAACCTGGTGCGATCCTCCTTGAAAGAGTCCAGGCAAGGGTCCTATTCTGTTCCCTTTCAGCAGCCACATAAACCCACTAACCTGGAAAAACAAAGACAAAAGTAGCATTTTTTCCATGTTATTTATTCACATTCAACTAGCTACATGAGGGGGATAAGCAAATTAATAGGAGCTTTCTGGGAGGCACATAGGTATGAATGGAAGGGTGGGATTAAAACAGAAAATAATTTTCAATGGTTAAGTGGAAGATTTTTAAAAAGTATCCTCTGGATAAAATAATCAGAAATAAAATAAATTAGCCACTTCTGATCATTGCATTCCCCAAACCAAAGTCTCTGAAAATGGTTTGCACTTTAGACTGTCATAATTTGCAGATATTTACATGACACAGGTTTCCAACACAGAAAAATGAAGACTAACCCTCATAACAGATAATTAGTACAATGCAGAGGAAAACTGAGCAAATGAAAATAGCTATCATCTGGTAGCAAAAATAGATTTATGCCGATGTTAATATCAAAATCAAAGACATTCAAACAAATTATGCCAATACATTGGAACCATTATTCCTAAGATCATAAGGACAACTTCTTATTGCTTCTACTTACAACTAAAAGGTCGGTGGAGATTCTATGATAGCCGGAAGGCATAACTTACAGTGTATGCAGTAGGCCTACATCAAAGTTCAACAGCCAAATAATTTATTATTGTTATTTTAGGCTTGACATCATTACAGTAGAACAAGGTCACTCATGATAAATCTGGAAGATGGAGAATGAGGATAGTGCTTGAAGCCCAAGCAAATGACTTACTGCAAGTAATTAAAGCAGAACATGAGAAGAGAAGCAGCCTAAATGAAGTAAACATTTACAAGATATTAGTTTGAATATTCCCCCTGAAGGAGTCTCACAGGAAGCACAAGACAACTGTGGGGCTGTTAGGGCACCCTGGGTACTTCTTGCCCTCAAGTGAACTCCCATCTCTTTAGTTAGGACCAGAATCTACCTGGCTTTAGGAGAGGAACTACATGGAGAAGCTGCACTGAAGCTTTTATTATTAATACATACCTATGACTCAAGGGAATACCAGCCTCGGGGTGCTCAGGGAGCTGGGGAAGGAACTGATTGGCTCTGCTGCTACACTGGAGACTGTTAGCTCATTTCTGAATGGATTTCCTGCAGTGTGGGGTAGTAGATAGCTATGACAGGAACATCACCTGAACTGCAGGGTGGTGGTTACCTGCACAAAGTCCCATTTCCAAGAATTTCTGTGTATTTCACCAGAAATTTTAGATGGAATAAGTAGGAAAAAAAAAAGGAGGTTAAAACATGTAACTCAAATGGGACAGTGATTAGTATTATTTAACCAGGAGATTTAAATTCCAGAAAATCAAACTGTGTGTTGGTTCTTCCCAAATGATGCCACGTTTCTGTTTCTTTCTCTTAAAACTATAAAATGTCCTAGAGACACAAACTTGGTGGAAAGATGATTTTCAGAAAAGGGACAGAAGAAAAAAAGAAGCCACTTCCCCCTCAAGATAGCTTTAAGCTTATAATGTCAGGATGCATCACCAACCTGTTTAAATTTCAGAAAAGCCCTTTGTAGATGCTAGCACTGACCAGTCAGATTTCAAAATCTGCACATAGTTCTGTATCATATTTTAATTCATTCCCACCCTCATCTCAAATAAGATGACTAAAGACGTGATATTTAGTCCTGTTGTCCTTGGGACTCTAAAATAAAGCATAAGGGCAACTGAAATAATAACATTAGGATAATTGAAGAATTTCCAAATGCCACATGACAACGCTACATCCCTGCAGGCTGTACATTTTGTTTTTGTTGCTTCTTTCTTTTTTGAGCCAGTTTCTGGAGCAGGCCAATTTAACAGCCAATATTACTAAGATTCTACATTTACCCACACATTGTGGAAACTACATTTGTTTTCCCCTTGAGTGCCCTTAAATCTATAGCCTGCTTCCTCATGTCTGTGAGCAGAATTTGGATAAATGCTTGCAATGAAAAGAACAAAGCATACACCAAAGAATCTGACTGTGTCATTCAACTGCTTAGAAATGGAAATGATACTCACATTGTGTTCATCTTGGCATCTCGATAAAATGAATCCCATATTTAATGAGTTGTTTTAAAATGCCAGTCACGCATGGATTCCAGAAGGCTACAGATCCACTTTAAATAACTCTCCATTTTGAAAATGCAATATTGTCCAACTGGTTATTTGGTGTGACAATGAAAAATCATGCATTCTTTTCCTGTAATTATTTTACTCTTCATTCATAACATTTGATATGCTCTGAATGTAAGTATCTAAAAGTGTTTTCTGGAGAAATCTTTATACCACATCATACTTGACATTCCATAGGACTGTGATGGACTTGAGAATAAAAGCTTAACAATTAGGCTTTGGTTTTAATGTCATCTGGGCAGAAGGTGGAATTGCTTTGATAACACAGTTCAACTGCTACACAAATTATATGATTGTAGATTAAAATAACACATTTAAAAAGACAAAGTTTTCCCTTTCAGTAGTTATAATTTGTATTATTCAAGACTGCTGCAAAACTCACAAAGAGTGATATTGATAACAAGTATAGGAAAGGGGTAAGACACTTACTTAAAGCTTTGCCAGAACACAACACAAAGCAAGAACATCAATTCTCTACATGTGTCTATAAGGCAGATGGCAAACTTTTTACACAAGATCTAAAATATGGTGCTTATTAAGAGGTAGAAAATACTGAAACAGCATTTAAGAAAAACATGTTGAGTTATTCAAAAAATCAATTATTTTGCTAAACTTTTACAAAGTCAAACTGCTGTATGGAATAAACTACATGTTTTATATTAAACTGGGACATTCTATACTCAACAGGGATGTGATCGAACAGAGGGTCAAAAAACTAGGCGGGGTGGGAAGCAGGAAACAGTCTCTTAACTTCTCAAGGATTCAGCTCTCACTGAGGAGAAATTTCCTACTGTCTCTCTGGGATGCTATCACAATATTTAATTAATTGGAATTTTTTTCTCTTATTAACGACAGTTTCTCTGAGCAAGAGGGTACACTTTTGCATATAAGGCAACAGAACTATAGGGAAAAACAAGTTCAAATGCTTCCTCTTCAAGAAGGTGCCATATTCGTCTTATATAAAAATATACATTCCGTTAATCTTACATCCTCTCCCTAACCACTAAAATGCAAACGAAAATATTCTTCAGACTCCAGCACCAGCAGAATTGTTCTGTATGAGCAATTCAAGAGCTGTCTGAGGCAAAAAGATATCTCAGCTACCGAATTAAACTTCGGTAGCTTATGCATGGTTGAGTAACCCTGGGTATTCTTATTTCTTAATGCACCTGGGAGAGGTTGATTTTTTTTTTTACAACGTAATTTTATAAGGCATAAATTTAATTGGAATCTTCCCTAACCTTTGGAAAATTAGTGTTAAAGCTTCTTTTTCTTAACCCACACATGAACATTCAGTCTTTCATTTTTACTAGTTTACATATAAAAAGAAATATCAAGGTGTTCTACATTCATATAAACAATCAGGTTAACATTTGAAATTGTAAAGAAACCCACTGAGGAAAATATAGACTTAAATAGTTACAATGCTAAGCTAAGCACAAGTGATCATCCTAGAGTATCTTTTAAATATATAAACACAGGTTTGTGCTGCTTCAGGATGCAAACACAGGAGAAATACACTAATGTTATCTTTCTTCTTTACTTTTTCACCACAAGACAGGATGGTCCAGTTTGGAAAAACCAAGATCTTTTCTAAGTTCCAAATAGGTGCCGTTGCTCACCCAAGAGTCATCGATGGATTTCCTGTGAAAGAGGAAACAATTTCTTGCAGATTCAAAACCAGCATCATATTCTCAAGTCTCTTTCTCTCCTAACCTCCCTGCTTTCCCCATCCTTATTCCCACGTGCATTCAGCATCCCAGTGTTGGGACTGGAAATTCTGGGAAATGGAAATCTGGAAATCATTTTGTTACTCCCCCCACTTTTTTTTTTTGAGACAGAGTCTGGCTCTGTCGCCCAGGCTGGAGTGTAGTGGTGTGATCTCGGCTCACCGAAACCTCTGCTTCCCAGGTTCAAGCGATTCCCCTGCCTCCGCCTCCCGAGTAGCTGGAACTACAAGAATGCATAACCATGCCCAACTAATTTTGTATTTTTAGTAGAATCAAAGTTTCAACATGTTGGGTAGGCTGGTCTCGAACTCCTAACCTCAGGTGATCCACCTCCCAAAGAGCTGGGATTACAAGCATGAGCTACCGTGCCTGGTGTATTTTGTTACTCTTGACTTTGACTTCTCAAACTTAGAGTCTGTGAAAAGTGGTGCTTCTGAGAGAAGGAGGATGCGGGGAAGAGTCTGTTGGATACAAAACATGACTTGCATGACTGTCACCACCTTGGGAATGAGTGCAGAAAAGCTACACATCAACGAGCTTGTGCATAGGAAGTGGTTAACATTAAACAAAACAAAAAGGATTGGAAGCCATAGAGTCTGGAGAGATTAGGGCTGATTTTCTAATCTTTGAATAGAGAATATATGACATAGACCAAAATTCAAAGAGCACAAAAGGATATACTGCTTCAAGTTTTTCTCTTCCCCATCTCTCCTAGACTCCTGATTCTTCTCCTCAGAGGTAGGGATGTTGTCAGTTTCATTCTTTCAGGGAAATTCCGTGTGTGTGTGTGTGTGTGTGTGTCCATGTGTGCAGGAACACACACACTCTATCCCCTCTCATTGTGACATAATATTGTACCAGACACTGCTCTATCCTTCCAGCTTTGACATAATGAAATATATTGGAGATCATTTCCGATTAGTACAATAAGGTAAGGGTCAGCAAACTATGGCCCAAGGGTCGAATCCAGCCTTCTGCCTATCTCTGAAATACTGTTTTATTGGAACACAGCCATGTCCATTTGTTTAAATATTGTTTATGGCTGCTTTCAATGCTGAACAGCTGGGCTGCATAATTGCTACTAAAACCTGAAGGCCCACAAAACCAACAACACTTATCATTTGTTCTTCATAGGAAAAGTTTAGTGACTCCAGCAATAAGGGATTCCTCATTTTCTTTTTATATAGTTGTATGACATTCTACTTAGGTTATTTTTAAACTGTAGCTCAGCATATGTTATTTTGTGTGTATGTGAGTATAGTTACATTAGAAATCCCTGTAATTAGCATGGCTGGGTCAAAGAGTATGTGCATTTGTGATGGTGACTGACATTACCATATGTTTTAGAAGCAAAAGTGGAGAGTGCCTGTTTTCCCACACTCTCAGGAATCTAGGTTTTTTTTTTTTTTTAATCACACCTGTTTCCCTGTTCTAGTAATGGGACGTGTGTAAAAATGAGTCAATCTGTGTATCAGACTGTTTGGAAAACTCTGCCTCTACCTTGAAAGCTCTCTCTCTCTTCCCCCCCGCCCCCACAGAGAGGCTCTCCTATTTTTACAAACTGCCCTGGCCTTCTCGCCGCCGCAGCCACCTCCCGCCGCTTTTGCCTTATCAGCACTCCCCCCGCCGCTTATGCCTCCTCAGCACTCCCCAGTTTCCCGCCGCCCGCCCGGTTTCTGCCTCATCAGCTCTCCCCGGCTTCCCGCCGCCCGGCTTCCCGCCTAGCGGTTCAAACTGGCCAACAGCTGCCCACCACCTAGCCCCCAACTCTTCCTCTCCTCCAGCCCTTCTACCCTTATAAGACAACTCTGCCCCTCTGGGCGGCACGGCCATTTTTCCTTTTCGTCCCGGCTGGTCCGCCCGGAGGCTCTTTCCTCTCAATAAAGCCTGAACTTAAGAAATTTCCTCTAGCCTGCGGTCCGGTTTTTTCCGAACCAGCTCAGTCTTCCTGCAGAGGGTAGGTCGCACACAGACAGTTCACTATTTTAAAATAATGAGACTCAATTTGGTCTGAGCTCCAGCTTCCACTTAGAATTTTCAGTGATTTTGTTGTTCCTCCGTAAGTGTTCATGACAACATCCAAGTCCCATATTCCTCTCCAAAATCTCTTTGCCAGGTTTCTCATTTCAGCAGTCCCAGGGAGGACCACTACTGCTAACAACTCTCGCTTCTTCTCCAATTTTAAAAAATTTCCCCATCTAATGTTATCATTATTTTATATACAATCAATAAGAAAAAGAGTGATGGCTGCCCCAGCTGAAGCAGCTCTCCAACCTTTTCTATTCCAGACATAATTCCTTCCTGATTGCAATGACAGCATAACCACGTTCTGTATCTTGCATTTAGCCTGCAGAGCTCCGCAGGCTTTGTAAGGTCATCCTTAATGCCTCATGTTGGATCAAGTTGGTGAATCTCCTTAACGAGTCCTTGAGACACTTTAGTTACCTACCATTTTTAATGATCCTAGAAAGTACTGTAATGAATAGTTTTATAATTGTAGGGTTTTCTTTTTAAAAAAATGAAACTAGACAGTGTATGGGAGAAAAAGAACCAACATACTTACAGGTGTCTGTTATGTGCTTACCTATCAACTGATAAGTAAATCAACGGATTAGTCTGTTAATCTATCCATTTTTCTATTTCTTGCCTTTTTCAAAAAGGAACGTAATATTTACATCTTATTCTTTAAATGTTTAAATGAAGTTTGAATATTTCAGGATGAAATTTTGGTCAGTTGATTTTCAATCACTAATAACCTGAATTTGTGAAAATGATCCGAAGGCATCTAGTAGAATCTGTATCAACTTTAGGGAAAAGAGCATGATATTGTCAAGACAAACCCTTACTTGTTACTATTTTGATGTTTTGGAATACATATAGTATTACTGCTGCTGTTACTAGTACCGGAATCCTCCCCAAAGTACTTCTGTCGTCCACTAAAAGCAAACACAGACACAAAGGAAAAAGCGTCCTAAAACAATGAAGAGGTGATAGCCCTGGAAGCAGGACCTGGCGGGTGGAGCAGAGCAGGAACTGGCTGCTTCCTACATACGCCTATTGAACTTTTTAAAAAGAAGAACAAACAGAAAAACTAAAACCATTTAGGCCCTGGCGTGGTAGTGAGGAGAGTCAGGCCTAAGCCCAGGACATTCCACTGAGTCCTTCAATAGGATCCCCTTAGTGCCTTGGGCTTTCACTTCTACTCAGTTAAAAGAGGAGATAGGGAGGTGAAAGGTGGATCTCTCATACCTTCTTTAAAAATTTAAATCTATCTTAACAAGCCCTTCTTGGCAAGTTATTTTAAAAATAACTGTAAATGTTCCAAATGCAAGCCCAGGTGTATTAGAACTTCTACAATGCAAGAAACAGACTGCTTGGGATTTCCATACTGCTTAACTGTGGAGTGATCATGATCTCTGTCACGGTGTAAACCATGCCTATGCGAGTGACCAGCCATAGCTGTGAATTCAATAAGCTGGCCTGGAGCTGGGACCCAGCTCTGGCAGGCTCCCTGTACTGAGAACCTCCTCTGTAAACCCACTGGTTGAGGCACTGGCAAAGCTCAAGGAATGCAAAAACGCAGGCCCTATTCCTGCCTGAGGTCAGCAAGAGGGAGAGCCTGAAGGTAAGTGTCAGGGAAGTCGGCCCTGGCACAGAGGAGCAGTCTCCCCAGGCGGAAGCAGGAAAAGCAGGGAGAATGCTCTCATCTGGGGAAGACACAGTATTGTTCACTTTCTGCAAACCAGAAGCATAACGTGTTGGCACCATCTATCAACCAAAAACCTACTCAATCCAGGCACAAACCTGAAAAACCGAGGCTGGTGCTCCACGTGATTTTCTTCTAAGACCCGCCGCCTTTCTCTCTGTAGCTGTTCCACCCTCTGCTTTTGGATTTCAGCTTCTTCTAAGTTCCCTTCTTCTAGACACCTGAGGCATTGAGAGGAAAAAAATTAAAGGATATGAATTCAAGAAAACAAAATAATCATTACTATTCAACTTGCATGTGTCCACGACCGGATATTCAAAATCCTCTCTTATATGTAAGACCCCGCCCCTAACCCTTTAATTAGTATCTTGAAGCAGTTAGAGAAGATATTTTTTGAATTGGCAATATTTACATGATTCAAAAATTCTGTCAACAAAAAAGAATTTGAAGCAAAGTCTTCTGTTCTTCCTTGTCTCTAACTCCAGGCACCTTCACCCTCCCACCCTAGGAAACCCAGTTACTAGTTTCCTTTGCATCCTTCTAGAGATTCTTCATGTGTATATCAACAAATATTGATACATATTCTTACCCCTCCCTCCATTTAAAACATATAAATGGGAGCATGCTATTTACCCCTTGATTTCCTGTTTTGCTTTACTTTTTATTTAACAATTTATCTTAGAGAGCTTTCCATGGATATACATAGACATCTTCATTTTTTGATAGCCACATAATATCCAGTTGTGTGGATGTATCTGAATCTATTTAGACAATTTCCTATGGATAGACATTAATCGTTCCCAATTTTTTTATGTGACAATTAATGCTGCAATAAATGACCCTGTATATCCATGATACTACATGAGTAAGTAGGAAAAATCTGTAGGAGAAATTTCTAGAAGGGAAATAGATGGGTGAAAGGGTGAGTGTGGTAATTTATATATTACTGAACTGCCCTTTATGGGATTATAGCAATTTACACTCCCATCAGCAATATTGAGAGTGCCCTTTTCTCCCATAACCTCAGAGTGTATAAAACTTCTGAATTTTTTGCCAATCAGATAGGCTAAAAAATGGGATGTTGACATGACTTTTTAAATTTGCATTTTTCTTATTATGACTAAGGCTGAGCATCTTTTCACATGTTTAAGGGATATCTGCATTTCCTATTTTGTGGACTGTTTATTTTCCCTTTTTCTTTTAAACACAAACTTAAAATAATTTAATTGAAAAAATTCATTACAGAAATTAACAATGCTTAACCATTCTTTAAGCACCACATATATTATTAATATAGAAACTTGCTGCTTTCTACATATGCCTATTGAACTTTTTAAAAAGAAGAACAAACAGAAAAACTAAAACCATTTAGGCCCTGGCGTGTTAGTGAGGAGAGTCAGACTTAAGCCCAGGACATTCCACTGAGTCCTTCAATAGGATCCCCTTAGTGCCTTGGGCTTTCACTTCTACTCAGTTAAAAGAGGAGATAGGGAGGTGAAAGGTGGATCTCTCATACCTTCTTTAAAAATTTAAATCTATCTTAAGAACTTCTTGGCAAGTTATTTTAAAAATAACTGTAAATGTTCCAAATGCAAGCCCAGGTGTATTAGAACTTCTACAATGCAAGAAACAGACTGCTTGGGATTTCCATGCTGCTTAACTGTGGAGTGATCATGAATGATCTCCATCATGGTGTAAACCGTGCCTACGTATACTTCCAGTTAACTCCATCCTTAGGCTCAATTTAAGAAACACAACTGTAACAGATTTTATACAAAACAAATTTCCCTAAAAAAGCAGACAAACTGCACAAAACAGTACAAGCATAATGTGCACAGCAATATAGCTTGAAGCATTCTATGTACGGCTTTCTTTAAAATAAAATTATTAGGGGGATATGCCCGTTTGGGACATACTGTTACAGTTGACATATATAAACTGTTTCACATCTGTTTTAGGTACTTGCTAACAATAGTGTTCAATCCCTGCAAAACAAATTTACCTCCATATGTTCATTTTTTCTAAGGGGTTGATCTGTTACTAAATTTCTAGAGGCAATTCATGATACGAGCTGTGGATACGGACTTCTCCGTTTGTCATTTATCTTCTGACCTTATATAGTTTCATTTATTTTGCCACAAAGAAGAGCTTATGTTTGTTTGTTTTTTGGGGGGCGGGCAGAGTCTCACTGCAACACCCAGGCTGGAGTGCAATGGTGTGATCTCGGCTCACTGCAACCACCTCCTCCTGGGTTTAAGTGATTCTTGTGCCTCAGTCTCACATGTAGCTGGAACTATAGGCATGTGCCACCATGCCTCGCTAATTTTTGTATTTTCAGTAGGGATGCGGTTTCACCATATTGGCCAGGCTGGTTTCGAATTCCTGACTTCAAGTGATCCGCCTGCCTGGCCCTCCCAAAGTGTTATTTTTAATAAAGCCAAATGTAGCAATCTTTTCTTTCCGTGGGCTTCTAGACTTTGAGCCTTAATTAGAAAGGCCTGAATGGAGACATTATTATTTCCATTTTACAGAGTATGAAATTGAGGCTGGGAAAGATGAAAAGACCTACCATGTATCACACAGCTTGTGAGCAGCAACCTAGGATCAGCAGTTAGATCCCAGTGCACTAAAAGAATTTAAATTTGAAGGCTTGGGGAGCTGGATGCTTTTTACCCTTTCAAATTCACACTAAGTTCTTTATTATTGCATGCAGTAAAACTCTTCAATATAAACACCTTTTTTGGTGTTTCAGTAGAAATGAGGCTTTATGATTAATAAAGGCCATGCCACACCTGGATCCTCGCTGGGCCCCATCTCCTCCGTGATACAATTGTTTAAAGCCCCCCTACCTCTCAACTCCTAATGGCATTTTCCATCTTTCTCAGGTGCGTCTGGTGGCCTGAAGGTTGTTAATAAGACTTTCTGCAAAGGGTTTTAAATCTCTGGAGAGAAAAATCTTTAAAGAATCCTTACCTCTGGTCTGGCCTAAATCGAGTGTCAGTAGGTGGCAATAAAGACTTTGACGATGGATCCATTTCATTTAATTCCAGCGCGAACTGTGTGAAGCCATAGTATTGCTCGTAGCCTTTCGGCATGGGATCTAAGAAGAAAATAAATCATTCACCCCTAACTTGCATGTCATTTACGTTACCTTTTAATTCCTTCACCTTTTTCATCTCAGGCTAGCTACAGTTTTTATCTCTCAGTTCCTTTCCATTTCTGTTAAAATATTCTAACTAATGAACAGGCGCTAAAAATTTCTCTATAAATTTTCTTCTCTATAATTTTTCTTCTGTCTACAGGGATGTGGCCTTCTATGTGTGGTCAGATGGCAAATTTATACAATGCTGTGAAGTTTCTATAGTGCTTAAACTATGAAAATAATTTGATTTTAAAATAAACATGCTAGACCAGGCATGGTGGCTCATGCTGGTAATCCCAGCATTTTGGGAGGCTGAGGTGGGTGGCTCACCTGAGGTTAGGAGTTCGAGACCAGGCTGGCCAACATGGCGAAACCCTGTCTCTACTAAAAACACAAACACTAGACAGGTGTGGTAGCAGGTGCCTATAATCAGACTGAGGCAGGAGAATCACTTGAACCTGGCAGGCAGAGGTTGCAGTGAGCCAAGATCGCACCACTGCATTCCAGCCTGGGTGACAAGAGTGAACCTCTATCTCAAAAATTAATAATAGTAATAATAATATTAATAATAAATAGGCTGGGCATAGTGTCTCACCTGTAATCTCAGCACTTTGGGAGGCCAAGGTGGGCAGATCACCTGAGATCAGGAATTTGAGTCCATCGTGGCTAACATGGTGAAACCCCGTCTCTACTAAAAATACAAAAAATAGCAGGGCGTGGTAGCAAGTGCCTATAATCCCAGCTACTAGGGAGGCAGAGGCCGGAGAATCGCTTGAACCTGAGAGGCAGAGGTTGCAGTGAGCTGAGATTGTGCTACTGTACTCCAGCCTGGGCAACAGAGCAAAATTCCATCTCAAAAATAAATAAATAAATAAATGATAATAATAAACAAACACGCAAATATAAGCTCTGGGTCCATTTCTCCTGATTCTCACTCTAGAGAATCCGATTTTATTTAAGTGATGTCAAATTATGCTGATTCTGTTTAGTACCTAGAATGGTGCTGAACACACAGCAAGTAGTTAATCAATGTTATTCTTTTCTTTCATCCCTGCCCTTTTTACCAATTCTTGCCTCCCCGCAATCTTACATCTTTAAAACATTAGGTGCATTGCCCTAACTGGAATTCCAGCTTTTCAAGCAAAACACACTGAAATTGACATATTATGTAAATCAAATGTAGACTGAGATCCACTCATAGCCTAAATGCTTTCCAAGAACTCTTCGGCAGACCACTCCCCCCGCCCCCCACGCTTTTTTTCCTCAAAAGGGTCTTACTCTGTCACCAAGGTTGGAGTGCAGCAACACGATCTCGGCTCACTGCAACTCTACTTCCAGAGTTCAAGTGATTCTCATGCCTCAGCCTCTCATGTAGCTGGGACTACAGGAGGTGCACATCACCATATTTTTAGTAGAGACAAGATTTTGCCATGTTGTCCAGGGTGGTCTTGAACTCCTGGCCTTAAGCAATATGCCCACTTGGGGCATATTTACAGGCACGAGCCACCATGCCTGGCCAGGATCCATTTTTTGAATCTTCAGAAGTCCTCCATGTAACTAGTCTAATCCTCTGTGTATCCTAAGCATAAAAACAGTAGCGAAGTTTCCTATGGGTCTTGGTCACTCTCCAGCCACCAGGGAGTGAAGATGGTGCTTCTTCTTAAAGATGGGCCAGGGATGCTCACCGCCAACAGAGAGACATAAAGTCACGGAATAATGACAGGAACAAAAATTTACACAGCGTTGCTTTATCAAGATAGTACTTTAACACTGAGACAGGATGGTAGTTCTCATCTGTGATGCATACTTTAAGCAAAGGAGAGAGACTGCGCCATCTGCAAAACCTCATGGTGCCTCTGAAGCTAGGAAGGCTTCCACCAGTGCCAATTCCTTCTAGCTTCATGGCAACCTCTACAACGGTGGGAGATGTGGCAGCTACCCACTGAAAGAGCCACTGTTGGCTGCCTACCTGACCATCATTTCTCTTTCTTGCTTGCTAACAGAATACTGATTCTGTTCAAGTGTCATTGTGCCCTTACTGGGGATGAATGTAAGACATTTGAATTTCTCCTGCCTACCCTGTTACCCATGACTGGTTCACAGATGTGTCTGAACCCACTGCAGGCTGATGTGATGTAAAGTTCCATTTGCTGGGGGATCTTAGAAAATATTCCTGAGAAAAAAAGAGGCACAGGAGAAAAAAGCTCTTTTGTCCTCTCATTATGTGGTTGGTATGCTGTCATGCAGCGGTATGACACTGAATGGTAATAAGCATTTTTCATCCATCAGGGGAGACATCACAGCACACTGGGGCAGCAGAATGTATTCTCACTGCTGTGTGTGTCCTTGACACAGGTAAGTTGCCCATGTAATACCCCTGGGGCCACCGGCTGCCTCACTTACTGTTATGTAATAGCACACAGCCTAATGGTTTAAGCCACAAGTCGAAGGTATTCTGTTTGGTTTTTACCTGCCTATAGCATCCTAACAGGCCTATCTCAGAACACTGGCTTTACAATATGGCTGTGACTTGGAAACAACATAATTTTCTGACTTAGAAGATGGAATAAGATATTAAAATGTGGTGGGGACATCCTGATGAAAGCTGGGGTTCCTTAGCTCTTCTGTCCCCATCTGCTCCAAGAGCTCAGCACCCTCCTGGCATCACAGGAGTGACGAGGATGGTTTCTGAGGTTAGGTCAGCCTGGGGATAGCTAATTTTTGTAGATCTCCTGGCTCATTGCTTTTCCAGGAACACTTTTCTCTTTGTCCGTGCTATAGAATGACTTCTTGCATTTCACTGATATTCTTTCATAGTGCCTAGTACAGTTATGCACGTGGACTGGAAGATTCCCTCAGAGAATGCCCCCTGATTAGCAATGCTTGTTCTGGGGCTAAGAATTGGGACCCAGCAGCCCAACAAGGTGTTGCTATAAGTAAGCATGACAAGGAGAGGAAGACTGGATGAAGGAAAGAGAGCCAACACCTCTAGCCTAGTTAAAAGCAGAAGAGGCTGGAGACGCTGAACAGACACTGGTCCTGTCCTGTGTGGCTTCTTTTGCTATGCCTGCCCATCTACCCACTCGCAGCCTGGGGTCCACAAACCCAGACACTCACTTGCTCTCCATACACAAGCAGAAGAGGAGGAGCTGCCGCAGTAGATGCTTTCATGCCATTTCCCAAACAGCCGATGAACCGCTTTTCCACTCCTGTCAAACACTGTGCCTTCAATCTCATGGGCGTTAGTGCTCCAGTATTTCGCCTAGGATTCAAATGAGAGTTGTTGGCTTAGTTCTTTAGCATCAGCTTATTACAGATACTGAGGAAAGAAGGAAAAGCTAGAGAAAGAACTGTAAGAGTGGTTCTACATTGCATATTACTAGTTACTAGTTCTGAGTTCTGTTTAATTGACAAAAATTTTATATATTTATCATGTACAACATAATGTCTTGAAACGTATACATTGCGGAACGGCTAAATCAAGCTAATTAACATAGGTATTACCTTACACACTTACTTATGATGATAATACTTGCTACTGAGTTCTCTATACATTTTTTATATTAATCTCTTATCAGATGTATAGTTTACAAATATTTTCTACCATTCTGCCAGTTGTTTCTTTACTGTACTGATTGTTTTCGTTGCTGTTTAGTTTGATATAATTCCATTTGTTTATGTTTGCTTTTTGTCTGTGCTTTTGGGGTCATATCCAAAAATAATACTCTCTCAGCAGCCAGGCATGGTGGCTCATGCCTGTAAGCCCACCAGTTTGGGAGGCCGAGGTGGGTAAATCACCTGAGGTCGGGAGTTTGAGACCAGCCTGACCAACACAGAAATACCCCATCTGTATTAAAAATACAAAATCAGCCAGGCATGGCAGTGCATGCCTATAATCCCAGCTACTTGGGAGGCTAAGGCAGGAGAATCACTTGAACCCGGGAGGCAGAGTTTGCAATGAGCTGAGATTGTGCCACTGCACTACAGCCTGGGCAACAAGAGCGAAACTCCATCTCAAAAAAAAAAAGAAAAGAAAAACTAACAATAGTGAGCATGTTGTACAATCGATTTCTTGAACTAATTCTTCCTGTCTAACTGAAATGTTGGATCCTTTGGCCAATATTTCCCAATCCTCCCCTTGACCCTCGGCAAACCCATGTTAACCATCGTTCTACCCTCTTGCTTCTGTGAGATCAACTCTTAGATTCCAAATAGAAGTAAGACTAGGTGGCATCTGTCTTTTTTGTATCTGGCTTATTTCACTTAACATCCTCCACATTCATCTATGTCGTCGCAAATGACAGGATTTCCTTCTTTTTAAAGGCCGAACAGTTTTCCACTGTGTTACATGTGCCACATTTTCTTTACCCATTCATCCATTGTTGGATACAGAGATTGTTTCCCTATCTTGGCCATTATGAATAGTGCTGCAAGGAACATGGAGACGCAGGTATCTCTTCAACATACTGATAACATTTCCTTTGGACATACACCCAGTAGTGGGATTGCTAGCTCATAGGGTAATTCCATTTCTAATTTTTTAAGGAACCTCCATTCTGTTTTCTATATTGGCTGTGTTAATTTACATTTCCACAAATGGTGTGTGATTCCTCTTCTCCATATCCTCCTGAATACGTTTTTACCTTTTTGATAATAGCCATTCTAACAGATACAAGGTGGTATCTTATTATGGTTTTAATTTGCATTTCCCTGATGATTACTGATGTTCATCATTTTTTCCTCATGTATCTGTTGTCCACTTGTGTGTCTTCTTCTGAGAAACGCCTCTTCAGGTCTTTTGTCCATTTTTAAATTAGATTGATTTCTTGCTATTAAGTTCCCTATACATTTTTTTGTATTAACCTCTGATCGAACGTATAGTTTACAAATATTTTCTCCTATTCTGTAGGTTGTTTCTTTGCTGTATTGATCAAGTTGCAGTTTAGTTTGATATAATCCCATTTGTCTATGTTTGCTTTTGTTATCTGTGCTTTTGGGTCATATCCAAAAATAATAATTGCCCTGACCAACATTATGAAGCTTTTCCTCTTATGTTTTTGTTTTAGTAGTTCTACAGCTTCAGGTCTTATTGTAAGTCTTTAGTCCTTCTGGAGTTGATTTTTGCATATGGTATAAAGCTCTAATTTCATTCTTCAGCATATGAATATCCAGGTTCTCCAACACCATTTACTGAAGAGACTATCCTTTCCCCATTGTGTGTTCTTGGCACCTTTGTCAAAAAACAATTAATTATAAATGCATGGATTTAGTCCTGAGCTCTCTAGTCTGTTCTATTGTTCTATATATCTGTTTTTACGCCTGGATTTTGGCTTTAAAAAAATCATACCTTTGGCTATTTAATAAAAATAAACAGTTAAATATCTACAGTTTGTAACTCAACTAATATTTGTGTAAGATACATTTTTATTTCTACCTTTGCTACATACAATGCAAGAGAAGGCTCAGTTCTCGGCCAGGTGCAGTGCCTTACTCCTGTAATCCCAGCACTTTCGAAGATCAAGGTGGGTGGATCACCTGAGGTCAGAAGTTCAAGACAAGCCCGTCCAACATGGTGAAACCCCATCTCTACCAAAAATACAAAAATAAGCCAACTACGGTGGTGGGCACCTGTAATCCCAGCTACTTGGGAGGCTGAGACACGAGAATCACTTGAACCCGGGAGGCAGAGGTTTCAGTGAACCGAGATCACACCACTGCACTTCAGACTGGGTGAAAGTAAGATTCCATCTCAAAAAAAAGGAAAAGAAAAAGAAAAGGTTCAGTCTCTATAGAGATGTATACATCAGGCAAGTAGTGTGGATAGTCTCGCTATGTATTGGTCCTAGTCTGCAAGGCAATCTTGCACTCTGTTCAGTTCAGCTCAGCTCAGGCCAGCCCAGTGCAGAGTATTTTATATAGTACCACAATGCAGCCAGCAGATGGAGATCTAGCTCCCTAGAGTTGATTTTTTTTTTTTTTTCCAAATTACCTGGCTGCCCTAAAAATCTCTATGAAAGAACAGCAAAGGGAAGAATTTCTCCATAAATCAAAAACCCTAGTACTATTTTCAGCTGAAACAGAATCCATATTTGGAAACCAATAAAGTTGAATGGCATTTTCAGGTCAGATTCTGGTAATTCAGCTTCTCCATTTCAGGGCTGTGGCAAAAATGTAAGGGTGGGAAACTGAAGTGTCTCAGCTGAATTAGAAATTTAAAGTTGAGTTTTCCAGCCATGTAAGAATGAGGGAAAAGCACACCCCCACCAAAAAAAAAAAAAAAAAAAAAAAAAAAAAAGACTATTTAGACTCTTAAGTTGATTCTTTTTTTTTTTTTTTTTTTTTTTTGATACAGGGTCTTACCCTGTTCCCCAGGGTGCAGGATGGAGTGCAGTAGGGCAATCATAGCTCACTATAGTCTCAAGTTTCCGGGCTTCAGTGCTCCTTTGACCCCAGCCTCTCCAGCAGCTGGGACTTACAGGTGCATGCCACCATGTCTGGCTAATTTTTAAATTTTCTGTAGAGATGAGGTCTTGCCATGTTGCCCAGGCTAGTCCCAAATTCCAGGCCTCAAGTGAGCCTCCTGCCTCAGCCTCTCAAAGTGCTGGGATTACAGTGTCAGCCATGGCACCTGGCTTCTTAAGTTTATTCTGAAGCAGGTGTCAGATTTTCCCTTAGAGATATCTGCCAACAAATCCAGTGCTGAGAATTTGTTGGAAGCCACCAAAGGACATTGCCAACTTCCACAGGTGAGTGTGGCATCCACTTGCAGCTTCTCTTCCAACACCAGACATGCCCAGTGTTCCTCTCTCATGACTACAAACCCAATTCTCCTGCTCGTAAGTGGATGAGAAGCAGGTATGTGGTAGACACCAGAGTGAAGCACACTTCCTGGGGGAAATATTGAGAGCTATGTGACTTTCACCTGGGTCACAGGTCATACATCCCTGTTTCAGGTTGCTTTCTGTTTCTGTTTGCAGAAAGCTTAGACAAAGCTTCTGAGGCAGGGTCATTTCTATTTTGTCCCACATTGAGGGCTTTTGTCCCACATTAAGGTCATTATGGGCTTTATGTCTGTCTATAACCCAGTTTGAGGATGTAATAAAGACCCCAATCCACCTCTTCCTAATCATTCCCTAGAGGTTACAGGTGGTGCAGAAAGGTACTGCATGAAGTTCCACAATAAAACCTCACCTCTCTGCTTATTATCTCAATCTCTGTTAAATGCAAATATTCCTTGAGGAGGGTAATGTTTTAAAGATATACAGTTTTTAAGAGCAAGAAGGAATCTAGGAGGGAGAGAAAGCAGGGAGGGCTGCCCAGCAAGGCTTTTAAAATGGTTAAAATGATAAAGAGACTATTCCATAGTTTTTGCCTCCGGCCAATCTTTCCATTTAGTCTCTGAATGTTTATGAGTCTCTGATGTGCGTCAGACACCATTTCAGGCATCAGGGCTACAGAAATGAGCAGATAGACTAGGTTTTGCTCTTCTGGAGTCAGGGATGATGAGGAGGGTATGGAGAGCAGAAAATAAGCACAGCAACGATGAGCAGGCTGACTTCCGATGGTGATAAGCACTCTGGAGAAAATGGGACAGACAGGGCAGGGAGTGAATGACAGGATGGGGCTGGTGATGGAAGGATCTGGGGACAGTGGCCCAAGCAGAAGGAAATGAAGAAAGAGAAAGAAGGCCAGTGTGGCCAGAGGACAGTGGGAAAAAGAGAGGAGGAAAAAATAAGAGAAGCTCAGGTTGGATAGGAATGAGGTGGCCTGTGTGTACGTGTGTGTGTATCTGCAAGTGTGCACGTATGTGCGTGAAAGGGTGGGGATGGGGAGTGTAGCCTCTGCAGGACCTAGTGGGGAACCATAAGGATGCAGGCTGCACTCTGAGAAACATGGAAACTTTGGGGGGATTTTGCTCAAAGTGGTACAGCATGACTTTTTCTGAAAAAGTTGTGGTAAACCATACGTAATGTAACACTGACCATTTTAACCATTTCTAAGGGTACAATTCAGTGGCATTAAATGCATTCACAATGCTGTGCAACCATCACCACTATCTATTTCTAAAACATTTTCATCTTCCCAAACTGAAGTTCTGTACCTATTCAACACTAATTCCCCCTTCCTCCTTCCTGCAGCCCCATTCTGCTTTCTTTCTCGGTGGATCTCGCAGAAGTGGAATCATGTAATATTCGTCCTTTTGGGGCTGACTTATTTCACTCAACATAATGCTGTCAAGGTGCATCCATACTGCAGCATAGTAATTTATGTTTTAAAAGGGTCTCTCTGGCTGCTGTACTGAGGACAGACCCTATAGAAGTAAGAGGCCAGGAGGGGCAACTGCCCTGGTCTAGGTGAGAGAGGTACAGCTGGGACCAGGGAACTGCAGCATTGTTTGCCTGCTGGCACAAAGGTGAAGATGAAAAAGCTCTCAAATGCCCTGTGCTCTGGGGCCCTGGCTCTGCCACAGCCCTTCCAGGCTCAGAGCTCAGAGAGCCACTGGAGTTACCTTTATAAAATTCACTTTGCAGTAGCAGGAATCATCATTCAGGTTCTTGATGACAATCTCTCCATAGTGCTCAATCCACCTCTGCCCACTTAAGATGTTATGGATGCAAGAGGTCACTTTGTTCCACTCAAAATGATCCCCAAAACTAAAAGAAGGAAAAAGCAGAAGTACCAATTTCCAGAAGAGCCAGCAGCAAATACAAACACTGCTATTCTATAAAAAAAAGTCATGTAATGCATTACCCATCCCTTTATTCACAGAAGCAACACTGGCTGAGTGTCTACACCATGTCAGGTTTTCCAGGAGCTTCCAGTCTCCAAGGAGGCGTGCACGCCACAGAGGATGACAGCATCCAGACTCTGCACTCTGGAGGCTACCAGAGGCTTCACTAGAAGCTGGTGGTCTCCTGCAAGAGCCCACTCCCTCCTTTGGCAGAGGAGGCGATTCAGAGCCAGAGGGGCTTGTTTAATGTTGCAGAAGTAGGAAAGGGAAGCTTGAGGAAGGGATGAAGGTTTTATACAATTTGCTAAATGTATATTGCCTGCATCCTTTATGATGAAAAAGTACTCAGATATTAGTTACGGAGTTCAATAATAATTATGAGGAAAATGGTATTACTAGTAAAACATAGGCAATGCGCTAAGTACTATTTTAGGTGTTTTCTGTACATCATCTGTTTAATCTTCATAACAGCTATAGGAAGTCGGTGGTTTATTATCTTCATTTTCCAGATGGGAAACTGGTGATCAGAAAGGTGAAGTAACCTGCCCAGGGATTCACTGTTAGTAATACATGCCAGAGCGAGCAGGTGAATCTCAGCTCCAGTTCCAGAGTCCCTGCTCAGAAGCACCCTGCTTTATATATAAGTATTGATCAACCCTATCAGATCAAGGCCATACCTTTTTTTAGAAGAGATTTTGACAGCAAAGCAGCAAAATAAGAGAAAAACACTTTTTTTTTTGATTGAGATAAGGTCTGACTCCATCACCCAGGCTGGAATGCAGTGGCATGATCACAGCTCACTGCAGCCTCAACCTCCCTGGACTCAACTGATCTTCCCACCTCAGCCTCCTGAGTAGCTGGGACTACCGGTGCATGCCACCACTATGCCTAATTTTTGTATTTTTTCTAGAGACAGGGTCTTGCCAGTTGCCCATACTGGTCTTAAACTCTGGGCTTAAGCAATCCACCTGTCTTGGCCTCCCAAAGTGCTGGGATTACAGGTGTGAGCCACCACGCCTAGCTAAAACCATCATTCTTAATCTTGTTAGGAAGAGAAAAGGAGTTTGAATAAGTATATATTCAGGGAACTTTGCTCTCCAGGAGATATTTGCATTTGAAAGAGAAACATTTTTAAAAAGTGAGCTTGCCAAAAGGAGGAACATTTAAACCTACTGCCAGACAGATTAAAGAAAAAACAGGCACTCAATGCAATTGGCAAGGGTGGGGGAGGGTGGGCATCCTGTCTCCAAAGCAAAATCTTGGCCCTAAATTTTATAAAGCTCCTTAATCACAGAACTTACGCTGGCAGAGTCACATGGGTTGTGCCAATTGGAACAATTTCCATGGATTTTCCCCAGAATTTGTTTTTCCATCTCACATCTGAAATAAAACACCAAATATCACATTTTTAGCAGGAGAGGTAGGTAGATCAAATAGTTTGTAGGCTAGATAAATGTTCAATCACTGTATAGTAGAACCTCTTCACAATTAAGTCAATTATTGGTTAGGATTACTTTTCACAAAATATAAGTACCAACCCCATGGGCCCTTGGAGCAGAACCATGGAAACTAAAATAATAAGATAAAGTCTTCACATGAATGTGTTAACAGCATGAAAGGCAGACAGAGGTGAAAACAAGTAGTAGCATACAGAGAGGTCCAGGGTATAACTTAAGTGTGTTATAAGGTAAAATGAAACCAGAGAAGAAGGAATGATGAACCTGCTTGGAGAAAGCATCAGAAGAGGCTTGTCGGAAGGGCCATCTAAACGGGGCTTTGAGGAATACACGGGAGTTCACTAGGCAGAGAAAAAACAATTTAAGACCAAATAAACAGCTTGTCCAAGGGGACAGAAGTACAGGAAAACGTAGTGTGATTCTGTCCTCTAGGTCTCAGGTTGTCTTGTCTAGAGAGAAGAGTAGAAAGACTGAGAATAAGACCAGGTACAGTGACTCACACCTGTAATCCCAGCACTTTGGGAGGCCAAGGCGGGTGGATCACCTGAGGTCAGGAGTTCAACACCAGCCTGGCCAACATGGCGAAGCCCTATCTCTACCAAAAAAAAAAAAAAAAAATTAGCCGGACATTGTGGTGGGTATCTGTAGTCCCAGCTGCTTGGGAGGCTGAGGCAGAAGAATCACTTGAACTGGAGAGGTGGAGGTTGCAGTGTGCTGAGACTATGCCACTGCACTCCAGCCTGGGTGATGGAGTGACACTGTCTAAGAAAAGAAAAAAGACTAAGAACGAAAAACAGTGGGCTCTCCAAGCCTAGCTAAGACGTCTGGTTTGTGTGCACTGAGTGGAAATAATCAGGCCTCTGATGTGACTAGACATGGACCTTGCAAAGGCAATTGGAAGCCATATGGAGAATGGAACAGGAGTAGGAGAGAAGAGAAGCAAGGTGACAAGAGGCTACTGCAATTGCCCAGAGGATAACAAACAGGGATGAAGGGAACCATGACAACAGACATGGGGAAGTCAGCGAGCCCTGGATACCAAGGAAGCAGAAATATGCAGAACAAGGTGACAAATTAGATACAGATTGAAAAAGGGAGAATTTATAAACAATGTCAGTTTCTCTAACTTGCATGAATGGTGGTACCAAAGAGAAGCCAGGGAATAAGAAAAGAACAGTGAGAGGGTCCCATCTGGCTGCTGCACTGAGGATATACAGACCACAGGGAAGTAAGGGTGGGAGCAGGGAGGACAGTGGGGAGCCCTAGCTGGGGTCCAGGTGAGACAGGTGGAGCTGGGATCAGCAAGCATGGTAGGCATCATATTGTATAATCCTATTTATATAAAATGCCCAAACAGGCAAATGTATAGGCCGGGAACTGTTGAGAGAAATGGGGCAGGTGGCAGATGGGGAGGGTAATATTTGCTAAAGTGGATTCTTTTTGGAGTGACGAAAATGTTCTAAAATTAACTGTGCTGATAACTGCAAAGTTTATTAAATTTGCAATTCTGTGAATATAATAAAAACCATTGAATTGTACACTTTACCTGGGTGAATGATATGGTATGTAAGTTATATGTTCATAAAATTGTTACCGAGAGGAAAAAAAGATAGCTGGCTATTTAAATCAAAAGTAATAAGAATGTACTACATGGTTTATGATATATATAAGATACATGTCAAAAACAGTAGAGAGGTTGGGAGGGAAAAATGGAAGTATACGTCTGTAAATCTCGCTATATGTGAAACTAGCATAATAGTATTTGATGATATTAAAAATACATAACATAAATCCTAAAGTAACAACTTTAACAAGAAACAAAATAGGTAAGTATAGCTAAAAGCTAACAGAGGAGATGAAAGAGAATGATAGAAATTATTCAATCCAAAAGGGTGAGAAAGAGGAAAAGAAGAACAAAGAACAGATGTGACAAACGGAAAAGAAATATCGAGGGCAGATTTAAGTCCAATTACACCTACAATCACAACAAATGACACATTTACATGACCTACATAAAAGGCAGAGAAATGTCAGCATGGGTTACAAAGCAAGATGTGGGATTCCTAGGCCCATGGAAATAGGTGGGTTGCTCAGGAAAAGGCTTTTGGGGAAGGATGGCCTAGAAGAAGGATGCTCAGGAAGGGCTGAGAAGGGGAGCACATAACGTGGGGAGCACACAGACCTTCTTCGAGAAGATCCCACTCATTAAAAAAATCCAACCTTGAAGAAACAAAGAAGAGGTGCTTATAGCATGAGTTAGATTTAGCTATTAGGAGGCTAGGACGAGAATATTTACAGAAGGTTTTCGTGAGAGAGCAGTTTTAATTTTAAACTTTAATAGCAAAGGTGAAGAAAGAAAACCATGGTACTTGCCACTTTAAACTGGAAATACTGACTACCCCCAGAGGGAGAAACTGGGTGGCTGGGGAAGGGGATGACAGTATACTGTTTTGTACTTTTAAATTTTTTTTTTTTTTTTTTTTGAGACAGAGTTTTGCTCTTTTGCCAGGCTAGAGCACAGCGGCATGATTTCAGCTCACTGCAACCTCTAGCTCCCGGATTCAAGTGATTCCCCTGCCTCAACCTCCTGAGTAGCTGGGATTACAGGTGCACGCCACCACACCCGGCTAATTTTTTGTATTTTAGTAGAGACGTGGTTTCACTATGGCCAGGATAGTCTCGATATCCTGACCTCATGATCCACCTGCCTCGACCTCCCAAAGTGCTGGGCTTACAGGTGTGAACCATCACTGCGCCTAGCTGTACTTTTAAAGTTTTATAGACTCTGTGTGTGTGTGTGTGTGTGTGTGTGTGTGTGTGTGTGTAAAGACAACATGTGATATCACTGGTAGCAGAGAAAAATATTTTTAAAATGTGTATGTGCTCACTGTCTAAAAACCTAGGATGCTTATATTTTCCTTCTATGGAGATATTAACAAAATTAATCCATTTAGGAAATATCTACAGCCTTATTTATTCTTTAGAAAATTTACCCACCCACCCCCAACTCAAAATATAAACGGAACAAAATTTTAGGAACAATCACCTCAATAATGAAAAGAAGTAAGCAATGTAAAATACAACCTCAGAAATAAAATTTAACTTTCACAAAAGCAGAAAATCTCTCTGCTGTCTACACTCTGATAAACAAATGTAAATATTTAGTGTCTCTTGAAATATGTGAGGCATTTTAAATGACTTTTAAATAAGATAAAGTTACAGAATTAAACAGAGATGACACAGATAAAGACTGAGGATTTTTTCAAAAGGAAAAACTAAGTGAGAGATGAGAAACAAGAGCAAGTGGTGCTGATTCTTCTAACCAGACCCAAATCCAGGGACCACTTTTGATCTTAGTAGGAACTGATAGCGATTCTTGAATAAAATAAATCAGCAACATATTACATAGCATCATGGAAGTCAAATATATAACACATTACCTTGCCAGAAAACAAAATTTCCAGACTCAGCATGACACGCAGAGATAGGCGGATGGTGGCTGACCTGATGGAAACAAAGACCAGAAAAACAAAAATGAACGAACTTGTGTTTCTCATGAAATGCATTCTTTCTCCTCTGCACTGAGATGTGCAGTGTGCAGTGCTGAACAGAAGAAAAAACTTTTTTAGTTTCCCTCGACAAGTCTGTCCTCAAGAGGGCGCTCCTGATACAGTCAGCTCTGACTTGCTCGGGTTGGACAACGGTGAGGGGAAGGCCCTTGAATGGAAGCCTCCAGAAGCCTTCATGGGAGGAGGGCCAGGTGGCGTTTCGGCGAGTGATGAGGACAGAAAGGCATTTCGAAAGACATAAAAAGAAAACAGGGACATGTGAGGACTGACTGCTCATCCATAAACCATATAATCTGACACTGGCTACGAAGGTCAACATCTCTATCAGCTCTTCTGAAAGGAGCTGCAGATGTTTTAATTAGGATGTCAAATAGCAAGTATTCTAACATGCAACACAAAAATGCTCTTCCTTGGGCTCAGCCGATTTAACTCTTGAAAACTCTGCATCATAAAGTCCAGCATCTTTCAAATCACCTACAAGAGACCGATACAAGGTAATTTTTTAGAAAAGAATGTTTCTATTAAAAAAAAAAAAACAACTAAACACACAATTGTTGAGGAAATGTTAGTCAACTGTCAAGAAAATTTTATTTATTTTTTGTCAAGATAAAAACTATCTTGAGCAAATAAGTAATCTCATTCCAGAAAAGAGAATCCCCTGGAGCAGAGACTGCCTTTTGGCAAAAGATCATTACTCATTTTATTCAGTAATGAAGATGCTGAAGAAAAAATGGCTCCTCCGTGTATTTGCTCATTATCTCAATTGCACTCAGGGAATGCTGAGAGGTGTACATCCTGTTATTCTAATTCAGTACTGGTGAAACCCCAGTAATACTGCCAGGGGTGTTTCCAGAAAGTTCTCTCATGTAGCTGGTTCTTAGCAGAGGTATCTTATATTGAGAGTATCTAGCTCAAATCCTGCACCTCATAAACGAAAAGATGGAAACCAGAAAGATTAAGTGACATTTCCCAAGCCGCATCGACATCGGGGAAGAGGTAGAGGTAAGTCCCAGAAGTTTTGGTTTACCTCACTGGTTTTCAAACTTTCCAAAAAAAAAAAAAAGAAAAAAGAATGTTTTAAGTGACTGCACAGTTTTCAAACCCATCTTATCAAGAACCCAGAATACTGAGCCCTTGCTTGAGATAAACATGTGGGAGGAAGGGAGGGCAGTGGGTGACAAATCCATAGCTGTTCACCTTCCTTGGGACCCTCGGCTGAAGAATATGGTTTGAAACTGCTTCTGTGTGCCAGGCCACCTCCAGCTGCAGGACTGCAGGGATGGGAGGATGCAGTCATGCACCCCACACCCTCATGGGATTACAGCCATACCAGTGTGGGCCAAAGAAAGCAACAAAGATGTAGTAAACCATGTCAGTGTCTCTCGGATTACTCAATGAACATAAACGCCAGCTGCAATACAAAGCAGGAGACTCAAATTTGCTGCTCTTTGGTTTGTCTTAGTTCCCGTGTGCTTCCTAAGAACTTGGGCCCTTCGCTGTGCCTGTGGATTTTCAAGGGCAGTTTTCACTCAAGCACCGACTTAGAAACCTCATCCCATAATGTAACTCCTGATTTCCTTTGATGTTGTCGTTTTCTTTTTCTTTTTATTTTTTTGAGACAGGGTGTCCCTTTGCCACCTAGGCTGGATGTAGTGCAGTGGCACAATCACAGCCTACTATAGCCTAGACCTCCAGGGCTCAGCCTCTCAAGTTGCTGGTGTATGTACCATGCCTGGCTAATTTTTTCACTTTTTGTAGGGATGGGGTCTTGCTATGTGGCCCAGACTGGTCTTGAACTCCTGGCCTCAAATGATCTTCCCACCTCAGCCTCCCAAAGTACAGGCATGAGCCACCATATCCAGTTGTCTTAAAAAAAAAAAATCCTACCACTTGGAGATACTTTATATCATAATATCCTACATTCTTCTCCTTTTCTTCACTAGCTGTCTCTCAGTGAAAACAATGGAGTTAGCTTTGAAACCATGGGATCATATAAAACAAAATCAGGGTGCATCAACACAGCCCTGTAATCCCAGCTACTTGGGAGGCCGAAATTGAAGGATCCCTTGAGCCCAGGGTCCAGGAGTTCAAGACCAGCCTGGGCAACAGAGTAAGACCCTATCAATAATAATAATAATAATAATAACCTTAAATCAGCTCAAGGCAATTCCCACTCCCCACTTCTCCACCCCACCTGCCATGACCCACTGTAGAGTGGAAGGAGAGCTATGAATTGTTCCTCTTCCTCATAATGTAGGCATATTTTTAAATGGATTATTATGAAGTAGGTAATATTCCTCCCACAAAAACAATGCAGCAACGTGGGAAAGGAGCACTACAGCTCTGATGAAGAATTTGGCATCTTTACAGGTGTGGCCGAATGTAAACATTAAAGCCAAACACAGTATATAAAAACAATACACCTCTTCTGTAATAATTTAAAACCCCATAAAACAGGAATAAATATACTGTCCATATGAATTATTTAAAAACCTACTGTATACACATATCTCATAAAAACCCAACCTTGTTTTTTTTTTAAACTATTGTGCTAATGAATGAATGTTTAGCAGATAACGTTTAGATGGGTTCAACACATGTTTTCTGAATAAGTTTCAACCTTTAAGTATCAGTAACTTTACTTATTTCTTTATGGCTTACATAGGACTTTGGGAATGGTTTATTTGGTCCACATTGCTTTTAAGAGTTTTACAAAGCTTTCTGGGGCGACTGACATTGATAGCTTGCTTATTTATTTATTTGTTTGTTTGTTTGTTTGTACATTTCCTCTGATTTCTGGAGCATCTGCCATGCACTGCCCTAGTATCTGGGAACTCGGGAAAGGCTTTTGTTGTTCTGTTGACCTGTGTCCTGACTAACATCAGCTGCTGGCTGTGTGACCTTCACAGTTTTTTAAGCCCCTCAGCCTATGTTACCTCATATGTAAAGTAAGGCTGATTCCACTGACTCGATCAACTAAAGAAAGATAACACATGCAAACCGTCCAGGATCTTATGCTGATGTGGATTAGACAGAGACTAAATTTGATTTTTTTTTAATGAGTGTATTCTCACTTAGTTCTTGCAGCAGCCTTGTATCTTTGTTAGCCTTGTTTTATAAATTGGGAAATAGGGGATCTGTCTAGCAGAAAGCTTCCCCCGTGCCACACCATTAATGAGTGATAAAGGGGACACTCCAAACCTAGGGCATCCTCTTCCAGATTTAGGGCTCTTGTCCCTCCCCAAAGCCAGGACACATCATTAAGGTCCCTTCTCAGGGACATTTAGAGAAAAAAAACTTTTGAATTTGACCTTTCCAACCTGAGTCTCACATATTTCTTTGCAAAATGAGGTGTGAGGATCCCTCTTGGCTTCAGAATGCTCCAATTCTAACATTTGCTCTTAATGTCTTCTTCGAATCTTAGCATCAGAGGTGGTGGCAGATGCTAGCCAACTTGAAAATATTATACTAAGGTTCTGATTAACTTGAATGCCCATGGAAAGGGGTAATTCATAGTTAATCACTTAATCTTTATTGATGATAATCTTTCTAAAATCTGCTAGAGTAGTGAATAATGAGCAGAATCTAGCCTGTCTTTATTATTGCAGGATTTTGGTTGAGTCTGTATTCTTCTTACATCTTAACTCAGGCAAAAAGGGCAGTAGATGCATTTGTCTGAATTGACCCAGCCCTGGAAGAGATGCTGTCTGTTAACCTGTTGAATAAATCCAATTTAGACATTTTTGTTTTGGTATTCTTCCCTATCACTTCCTCTCCCATCAAAGAAGAACAATTCTTTATTAGTAAGGATGTCCAAGCATTCTAAAAATTAGTACACATGGTTTTTATTATGCAAGTATTTATATAATAACACATGTATCTATCTTTCTTTCTACAGCCCCAATACAGTTCCCCTGGCAGTTAAAAATTCTGGTAATTTACAATTCATTTATATACCTGAGGCCCTTCTTTACCTTGACCTAATCATTTTTAATTTATGCTTTGAATGCACTTTATATAAGAGGTCAAGGGAGAAGCAGATAGGGAAAGAATATATTTTCAGTATTTGTGCAGTTTGTAAGGTTTTTTTTTTTTTTTTTCAGAGTTAGAAAAGTAGCCCTTAAATACATCCGTTCCACCCTGCAATTGCTCCAAGACATAACTGTCTACTCCTCCCAGGTCCTGACTTCCCTGCAGCAACACAGGGCAATAGTGGAAAAGAGGGCAGGTGCCGGTGAAGAAGTCATCCAGAGATGGGACCAAGTGGCCATTCTTTCCAGTCACTCATCAAGCACTTACTGATTGCCTCTGATGTGTCAAGCACTCTCCTAGTCACCAGGGGTAAAATGATAAGCTAAAGAAACAAAAATTCTTACCCTGACAGAGCTTCTATTTTAGTGTAGAAGTGGGTAAGACAATGACACATAAGAAGCACGCAATTTGTCAGCAGCAATGTGTGTTAAGGAAAAACAGCAGGGCATGAGGATGTGGGGACAGTGGGTAGGAGTGCTAGTCAGGCAGGGTGATGGGGCAGGACTCTAATGATGAAACCTGTGGGGCTGAGAGAAGTTCCAAAGGTAACCATGCAGGTAACTGAGAGAAGCACATCCCAGACAGAGGACACAGCAAAGGCCAATGGCTGGAAAATGCTTGGTATGAAGCAGGAGAAGCAAGGCCAGCATGGCAGAGATGAGTGAGGGGACGGGGAAAGTAGAAGTGTCTGAGGGCGGGGCATTTGAGGGCTCTGTGGGCCATGGCCAGGACTTTGGATTTTATTCCAAGTGACTTGGGAAGTTGGTGGAGGGTTTAGAGCAGCTGCTGCTTCTGTTTTAAGCAGTCACTCTTGCTCCTGGATGAGGAATTAAATGGCGCTGGAAACAGGAGACCAGTAATACGTCCTATTTCAACAATCCCAATCACTGATTTTAGTGGCCT